ATACTTCATAAAAATGCTGGACAATATTATAAAGCCAGGACAAATATTTATGATGGTATAGGGTCTAGTGCTATTTGACGACTATTGTTCATTAAATCTGAAATCAAAAGAGAAGTCTTTATGTTAATTTGCTTTTTAGTGTCCAGACAACTAGATCTAGATTTTGTTTAATCTCAAGAATAATGCCCTTGTAAAATGAATAGCAGAATGGATATCCAGTTATTGAGCCACACAGCTCAGCTCCCATACTAGACAGAAATAACCGTCTGATATGGGTCATTTCTTTAATAAAACTGACATTTGAGCCTGACGTAGTCTCAGTGGAGACTAAAGCTTTCGGTCTACTCCCATACGTGCCCTGCATATATACATGTACACACAGACTCCTACGCCGATGCTCCCCGCGCAAAATAACCAAGCATTACAGTGTATGTAGCCATGGCAGCAACAAGCTAATTAAAAATACCTTTTGCTCTGTTTTGATTTCGATTTCGGCCGTGAATTTGAACTTGTCACCTTCTCTACCAATGATGGTTTTGCTGGAGATTTCGTGCAGAATTTAATTTCCACCTCGTTGAGGAGATCGTCAATATCGTCAGCCATTTTTTAAAGGTTTCTTATCCCGTCTTTTTCACTGGTCACCAGCACAATTCGATCGGGAATGAACAACACATATGGTGTGTGCGTGTGCAGCGCTTATTTGAATGAATATGGCGCGCCACGCAAGATCTCGACAGGCACGGCCTGGTAGTAGTAGTATGAATGAATGAATGAATAAAAAATGAACGAACTATTAAATTAATTAAATTTAATTAAAAGGAAAGAATTCTGATTGGTCGTTTTGAGTTTTGGCTTGCAGGGGTGGATCCAGGCATGAGAAAATATTTAGCGGTCAATTAGCCAGCCGGCGAACAGGGGTAGGGGGAGGAAGGTGGGGGGGGGGGGGGGGGGGGGGGGGTGTAAGAGCACATAGATATTATTTTTTGGGGGTCCAGTTTTTTGAGGAAACTGTTTGTGCCGACTCTTAGTGACTTTCCTATTTGTTTATTGTTTGGGGGGGGGGGGTATGGATCCGCGGGTGGTGGCTTGTGTCATTAGCGCCAGCATTAACTCTCAAACGACTCGTTATCAGCATCCCAATTAGGGGAAGCACAATGCAATAACATTACATTTTTACAAATGCTATATATTTGCCTGTTGAGTAATGCGAGGAACTTTCCGTAATTCTGCCTTAATTCCAATGAAAACAGGCAATTGTAAGACTTGAGTAGAGCAATAAGGATCTGAGGGAAATGGGAGGGAAGTAATATAGGTAGAATATGATTTATTTATTTTTCAATAGATCGAGAGAATGGTCTTGTTGACATTTTGATTGATAGAGTATACCAATAACTATCTTCTCGTATTTAGTTATGATTATTTGTTTCACCCATTTGCATGGCTTGCGATGACTAATCTTCCAACCTTCCAACCAATCTTCTTCTAAAAGGGATCAACTTTTGAGTTTTGGACAAACACCTTCTGCTCCTTCATAAGTAAGTCTCTCTCTCTCTCTCTCTCTCTCTGTCTCTGTGTCTCTCTCATCTCTCTCTCGCTCTCTTCCCTCTCTTCCCTAACTCCCTCTGTGACTTTGTCTCTCCTTCTTCATCTCCTTGATATGACGTGTGTAGGTCCACAGATGCAGTGTACAATTTTTTTTATCTTTTGTGTTTTCTGTTTATATTTTTGTCTTTTTAGTTGTTCACATCATTAACATCCCTTTGTATATGTTGTAGTATTCTAGTTGTTAAGTCACCCCTTCAGCCTGTGCTGCTGATCAGTTTTTATATACCAATAAATAAATAAAAATAAATAACTTAATGATCGATGATATGCAGCTTTATATCCCCCCCCCCCCTCCCCCCATCCTCTCCCTCTATCTGTCTCAGAACATCAAATACCAGTAATTTTATTATCATTGCTAATCCTGACATTTGGCAATTGGCTAAAGTCCTAGCAATCAATTCCAATTTTCCAACTCTTTCTCTCTCCCTCTTAGAATAATTCCTTCTCTTTATACGTTTCATTGATTCTCTCTCTCTCTCTCTCTCTTCTCTCTTCTCTCTTCTCTCTCCTCTCTCCTCCCCCCCCCCCCCTTACTCTCTCCTCTCTCCTCTCTCTCTCTCTCTCTCTCTCTCTCTCTCATAAGTAAACATTCTTTTTATATTGTTTCAATCATTCTATCTCTCACTTTTCATCATTTAACATAGAATATAGCTACATAAAAACACTGGCAACATACAATAAGAATAACCAATTAAATTGTAGTTTTTATTCATAAGATCCAAGACATGTACTATTCAAAAATAAAGATTTTATCAAGGAATTATATACCGTATGTATAAAATTAAATACCGGTATACAAGCATTCTGATACAAAGTCTGATAGATATTATCCATACACAGATTTCAACTTGAGTTTTTAGAATTAAGAATTAAGATTAAACTATACTTTCATTTACGTTTTCAATGACTTTTCATGAAAAGTGGATTTCTTAATGCATGGCATTATAAGACCTGATGTATTCTGGGTGATTCCGGGCAATGTATTACATCATGTATAACTGCTATGATTTTTTTTCTTCAAGGATGGAATACCGTGAAACCTGCTTTTAAAGTGACCACCTGTATAGAAAGAACACAACTTTTGTTTACCATGCAAAGTGTTTCTCATAGAAAATGTTTACTGAAGGAACCTGTCCATAAAGACCACTTGCCTACAAAGATAACTTTTCCTGACTCTCCAACATTGTACGGAACGGACCTTCTACATGCAATAAGATGGCATGTAGCATTATTATGATGTAAACAAACTCTACACTGGTGGTAACTATTGTAGGTTCCTCTAAGATCTAACATTAACAAAGAGACATCAAAAGAAATAACAAAATAATGAGGATAATGTTATTATAGCTGCATTGTGGGACCAGCTGTAGGGAAATTACAAAAGGACTGGAACTTGTATACCAATAAAAAGATTAGATTTAACTTCAAAAATTAAACACAACAATCAGAATTGCTTACTCAGGACTTGCATTTGAACAAAGCACATAATATTTTTAAAACAATTTCTTAAAGTTTGTCAGAAAAACTGATTTTGGAATCCAGAATGAAACTCATTTGATATCGTGGATAGTAATGGTAGTTCACTATCTAAGGTAGATCGATGATGCAAAGTGCACAGTCACAGTACACATCCGCGCTGTATGGGAGAAGGAAGGGCAGACTCTCCTGGCAATAGTGCCGAGTTCAGAAGAGGAAGAAGATACTGGATATACAACTACTTCAGGTATTAAATTCATATCAGTTACATTTATATTTCATTTTCTACCGGCAGCGGAAACTACAGAAAATTGGAGATGCTGCTTTTCTCAGAGCAGAGAGGGGGAGGCAAAATGAATACTACCTTCCGGTTGAGAATTTATCTAAGAAGAGGGTAGAAGCCAAAAGGGTACGAAAGCAGTCAGAGTGAGGGTCAAGAAAGTAAGGCAAGACATGTTGAATGAACAACGGCAGGAAAACTCTAACATTGATAATGAAAGGATGGATAGTGAAGCAACGCACGACTCTGCATTGTCTGATGTATCTTACACAGCTCCCCCCCCCCCCCCCCCCCCCCCCCCCCCCCCACTCTGCTTACAGTCAAGCTGCCACTCAACAATGACAATGTTACAACAAAATTGAATGACATTGACAAGCATAGCTTTTATCAATAATGGTCATTGTCTTAATAAATGTGATTGCTTGTTTGGGTTTTTTTTTTTAGGGTCATTCCAAAGGATGCATGGGGATGAGGTGAGCATGTCACAGTCATCTATTTGCCGAGTACTAGTGAGGGATGTTTCAGAAGCTGTTGCCAGAAGAAAGGGACAATTCATGAAGTTTCCTACAACAAGGCTAGAAGTGACTACTATACAGCAGCAGTTTTTCCAGTACTGCAGATTTCCAGGAGTCGTAGGTGCTACTGCAATCGATGGGACACATGTTTACATCAGGAGCCCTGGTGGGGTACGAGCTGGGTACTACATTAATAGGAAGAACAGGTACTCCATCAATGTTCAGGTGAGAATCAATCAATACATCATGAAAGGTGCAGACTTAGAGGCTGTTCACACCGGCAGAGATAGCGCGCGCTAGACCGCGCTATATCTGCGGTTTGGAAGGTACAACGTCGTTTCAGTCCGCCCAACAGCGAGCCACGGCGAGCCAAAACGGCGTGCCACTGGAGCACCTCTTGGGGGTGGTCCACGAGAGATAGCGCGGTCTATAGCGCGCGCTAGAAAAAAGGGGGTGCTACGATAGACCGCGCTATCTCATTGCGATGTGAACAGCCTCCATGTTGATAAGTAAACTATGTCTGATCAACAAACAGGAGAATGAGATAGAGGAAAGGTGTTTCTTACATAAGGACAAAGTCATTGTTGCAGAGATGCCAACCTCTTGACACAAAAAAACAGTCCATCTCTCCGCAAAGAAATGGTGGGGACAAAAATGAAGCGGAGACGGCAAGAAGATATGATACCTAGTGTGTTTATTTTCAAATTCTTCTTTCAAACTATACAGGTGCATTGATGGGACCCACATCGGTCTGCATGGGGCACCCCTTGGCCACACGTTCGTCAATAGAAAAGGGAGATATTCAATCAATGTGCAATCAGTTTGCACTCCAGACTACAGGATCTCCAATGCTGTAGTCAAATGGCCAGGATCCACACATTACAGCAGAATCTTGCAGGTATAGTTTTTCCAGTCATGCAGATTTCCAAGAGTTGTAGGTGCTGTTGATGGGACACTGCGTGAGTGACGCTTTCTGCGGCACTCACAGACGTGTCCTTGTGGCCTTGTCTAGTATAAGATAACGTAGATTTGAACCAGAACTGAATGTCGACGGACGCACTAGTAGAGCCACTCCCAGCTTCGTTCCCGATACTTCATTCAACACTACAATATAATTGCACGTTCCATGTTGTATAGGAACAAAGAATTGACAAGTTTGGGAAGAAAAGCAGATGTCTTGATGTTGTAGATATATATTGATTGATGCTGGTGTTGACAAAGAGATTGTGATGTAACAGAAAAGAAGTGGGCAAAATAAGACAAGTGCTTTCTTCCAAATTGGTAATATTGAGTGAAGTTATATATTCTTAGTTTTGTATATACTTCTTGCAATCAAATTAAGGCAAGGTTGCATTGGAAACAAGGTTATCGCCCAGGAAAACCTAAATTTCTTAAATGCGAGGATGCATTTTGTAAGGAGCAGGCTGTGCAACAATGTCCAGTATGCTAGGATAAATTGATATATGGGAGCTAAGTTATATGATATATATTCTTGGTTTTGTATATACTTCTTGCAATCGAATTAAGGCAAGGTTGCATTGGAAACAAGGTTATCGCCCAGGAAAACCTAAATTTCTTAAATGCGAGGACGCATTTTGTAAGGAGAGGGCTGTGTTACAATGTCCAGTATTTTCGATAAATTGATATATGGGAGCAGTGGGGGGGGGGGGGGAGGGATAGGGTTAAGGAAAAATCTAATTCATATTTGAAACATTGCTAAGTTATATCACAGACAGCTTTAGAAATCAATGGAAATGAGAAGAATTCTTATTTATCACAGCCTAGAATGCGAACAGTTTTCTTTGAATCAATTTAAT